AAGACATTGTTAATTGTGATGAAAAGGTGTTTGAAACGTATAAAGCTATTATTTTGTTTAATTCCATGCATGGTTCATATAGAAAAGTTAAGAATGCAATTAAGTGTCGTGGGGACACCCTAACACCTGATATTGTCATAGATTCTCTTAAGAGTAATGAGATGGAAATTAAGGCTGAAAAAGAAGATAAGAGAAGTGGTGAACTGCATATGATGAGGAATATAATGAAGTTTAAGCAGATGAGTTTAGATAGAGCTCAAGACAGTAGTGATTCGAATAGTGACTTGAGTGATGAAGATAGTAAGAAGAAGGGCAAAAGATGGGACAAGTCTAGTGGTAGACGATGTTACAATTGTGGTAAGATTGGACACTTTATTAGGGACTGTCCTAAGAAGAACAAGGATAAGCATAATAATAAGTTGAGAGGCGAGACGAATTTGGCATTAGGGTCGAGTGATGACCCTAGTGAGACTTATTGAGTGTAAACCTAATTACTGCATTTGCATCCGTGTGTAATTCTTTCTGCATGTATATAATTGCTTAATTCAGTTGTATGATTATATGTGCATTTCAATGTGTTTGATATGTGCATTTACATGAATTTGAGAGCAATTTAATTAATTGGTGTAATTGTTTGCATATATAGTGAGTTGGAATACATTAGCAGTGTGGTGTATATCTTTTGATAAGGTGGAATATAGATGTTTAGGGGTTCATTGGTGGTTTTATACCGGGAATGTGGAGCGTGACATTTAGATCACGGGTGGAGAGGTGATTAAATGTTGGAATCATTTATCTGTGAACATACACTGATCAGATGGAATGTGAGAGAGACACTTCTATCACTTTTGTTAGGTGAAGACCCATTATCCACTTAGGTTTAGAGAAGTGATGTGGTGATAGAGGATTATCCCAATGACTTAGGATATATTGTGACTTACCAGTTAGATATAGGTTGAGTGATTAGTCTAGTGAGCATGGTAGGAGATGAGGTGAGATATGTGTTCTTGAGGTGTGAGCAACACGGAATGGGATATGATAAGTTTGGTGAGATCTTTTCGTGGGACCATTTATGTATTTGTTGCATATGTGTTGACATGTTGATTAATTTGGTGTTAATATGTTGTTCTATGTGAACATGTTTTGAAAAAATCTATCTGTTATATCCTATATATGATATCTACATCTCATGTTTATTCGCTCATGATTAATTGCTGTGATTATCTGCTTCTACTTGGGTGTTTTCTTGACCTTAGCCCCGGTAAGTACATGGAGCAGGTATTGTATGTGTTTCGAATTCGAAACATGAGGTAAGATCTACAATACCAATTTTATTGGTTACCTTGATTGTGCAAGTATAAACTTTGTGTTTTGTTTGCTTGCAGATTTATTGAGAATCAATGTGGAGATTTGTTAGATTTTTTGGTACCCAATAAATTGGGGCGATGATGAAAAACAGTTGTCGAAAATTTATCGACACCATAAACTTGGCTTGACTCGAATACTACCAACACTTTTGGAAGGTCCAAGTTGGAGATGGATTGGTGGCTATGATTAGTTTGTGGTTTTGGATTATTGTTAGCCCATTAACTTAGCCCATTTATCTTGTTATTTAGTTGGCCCAATCAATTGGTTCTTTGGTCCAATTATATGTGACCTAACCAAATGATATATATTCCCATATTTCCCAAAACGTGAAGTGTGGTGCAATTGTGTGAAGTTAAAGAGGGTAGCCGTTCTTGGTGGTATTGAATGAAACCATTGCTTCCTTCTCCTCTTCCTTCCTTTGTGGTTAATTGCATCCACCATTATTGATCCTTTGTGGGTTAATATAAGAGTGAGACCTGTGGCAACTGGGTGGAGAAAAGTATTGGGTTGAGCTTGAGTCGTGTGGTGTTGATTGTAGTTGTTTCTAAGCCCGGAAATTGAAGTTTGGAGCACCAAAATTCAACAAATACGATGAAAAGAATTTGAGACATAATTGTGATAATGTGTAAAGATTAAAAATCTTTCATGTAATTAAAATATAGTTTAGTTATTAAATATGGTGGTGTGAATGTATCTAGCCTTCTATTAATAAATATATTTTTGTGATTTACTTGATTTATTTGAATAGTATATTATTGGAATTTGATGATGCAAGCTATTGAAAAATCACCATCAATTCGTGCAACCAAGGGAGCTCGTCTCTAGGATTGCTAAATTGAATGAGTTGTTTTTCTTCTTTAAATTGTTCATTTATAAGGCGGGAAGCGAATAGCGTTGCTTACGCTTTTGCAAAATTTGTCATTTCGTGTTCGATTGAATCGGTATGGATTGGGGAGTTCCCAAGCTTCATCTCTAACCTCGTACTCCATTTTTATTTCGAATTTGAGGCTTTTGCTTTATTTCAAAAAAAATTTAAAAAAAAAAAACCGACATTTTTATCTCAAAGCAGTTTGGCTAAAAACTGGTGTAATAACAACATAAGAAATCTAATCCTTTTAGAACAAGAAAATATATAATGAGGTATCTTTTTACGCAATTGGTGTATCCTTTGTTCCTGTTGGTTTACTCTGTGACAAGATTTGACACAACAAAAGAGTTACAGTTTGAAGCCACACATTTTGATGGTCTAAACCAAAACATTTCATTTTAATGGCTAAAAATGTACCTTTGGTCCCGTTTTGGCTTATCCTTTTTTTTTTTTTTTTCAAGAATCTCTTTTGTGTCCAATGTTTAGCCAACAACATGATGATCCCTCTTGTAATTTTCTATATACATTTTCCCCCTAACTCTTCTAACGCAGATTATTAAATGCCAATTTGACCTGATTTTTGAGAAGTCAAAATGAATTTTTAAGATCCAAATATAGTTTTTGAACTCATTTGACTAATTTTTATAAAAGTATTTCTTCCAATTAGAAGTGTTTTTAGAGAAAGCGGGTTCAATGTGACTTTCTCTAAAATCACTTTTGGAATATGAAGTGTTTTAAAAATTAGTTTTCCAACAAAAATTAATGTAACTTTCTCCAAAAACTTCTCTACTAAAAGCAAAAATCATGCTAAACGGGCTCTAATTAGCACTGGACAATAAAAATATTATTATTATTCTATTCAATATATTCAATGTTACAAAATAGACAAGCACTTGAGTTAATAGTATTCTTTCTTTTCTAAAAGGAACCTACTTGTAATGATCTAGACTTGTGTTTAAATAGTTAACTCATACGTAGTATCATTTTGGAAGAACTCGTACCCATTTTACCATTCATGGATTTCTTTCACGTCCCTTGACCTCTACATCGGCAAGTGGTTCAATGTGTATTAGGATTCAACTTGAGCTTCTCACAATTTAGAGATCAATGTTTGAATCTTGAAGGACGCAAAAGAAATTCGTGAAGAATAAATAAGCATGAGCTCTTTCAAAATGGACAGTATATTGACAACTTGGACACAAGTATAAATCGTTACAACCTCTTTTTATGAAACGATAAGAACTGTCATATATGTTGGAGGCGGCATTTGTCAACTCTTAAATTTTTTTCTCTCTTTTTGTAGACACTGATTTAGCAACCACAAGTTTAGGGATTGAAAGCTCAAAGTGTCTAAACAAGATTTCTCTTTCAAAACGGAAAGTATATTGACAACTTCGACATAAGTATGAATCGTTACAACTACTTTTTATGAAACGATATGAACTGTCATATATGTTGGAGGGGCTTTTGTCAACTCTTTATTTTTTTTTCTCTCTTTTTGTAGACACTGATTTAGCAACCACAAGTTTAGGGATTGAAAGCTCAAAGTGTCTAAACAGGATTACTCTTTCAAAACAGACAATATATAGACAACTTGGACACAAGTATGAATCGTTACAATCACTTTTTATGAAACGATAAGAACTATCATATATGTTGGAGGCGGTATTTGTCAACTCTTTAATTTTTTCTCTCTTTTTGTAGACACTGGTTTAGCACCACAAGTTTAGCGATTGAAAGCTCAAAGTGAAAGTGTCTAAACAGGATTACCTTTCTCGATGGAGGTGACCCATTTAGGTTGATGAACTTTTTAGGGACAACAAGAAGTCTAATTGAAAGGTAAGCTTTTAATATAATGGTAAATAGGGTTTAAAATATTGTCTGAAACTCGATTAATTTTAAGTTCTTAAATGAGATAATCCACAAATAAAACGTGTTTCAATTAAACGTTATTTTACGCTTCAATCATTTATGAAAAAAATAGACCTTTAAAAATTCAACTTATGCCTAAAGGAGCTTTAGAAGACAACATTTAAATGAATAAATCCTCTTAGTAAAGTTGGTAATGTCATTAGCGACTTTTCAACAATAAGTCGAGAAATCAATCAATCTCGCATATTGAATTATGAAATTGTTACAATAAGTTGAGAGATCACTCAATCTCGTAGAATGAATTTTAAACTTATATAGAATAAATAGTTATTAAGCTCCAACACTCCATATGTATAAGCCTCATTTTGATGTCTTATTTCTTTATCTAACATTCGATGTCTGATATCCATTTAATTCAATTATTTAATTTCTGTAGCATAAAGATTAATCTTTTGGCAACAATGGATGTTTCCCACTAAGAGACTCCTTTATCAAAGTTCACATGTTTAAAGGTTTTTCTGTCTAGTTGACAAATATGTGTCGCATAGCTGATCGCGAGTTCTTCAAAATGGTATCTAGAACTTATCCTAATGATCGAGAAAGATAGCTCAAAATTAAGTTCAAAGAGGTGACGGTAATAAATGAAATTTATTAAACACATTCTGTACAACCATTTTTACCTCACTATTGTGACCTCATCGTTTTGCGGTTTTGTAAATTGAAAGGTGCATTATGAAGTATGTCTTGAGTACTATGAAATGATATCAAGAACATTTCCTAACATTTAAGAATAATAATCCGATATTAATCCGCAAAACGACTTGATGAAATGAACCAGCTGCAAAATTTTCTTCTTCTTCTTCTTTATTTTTATTTTTATTTTTTATTATTTTTTTTGTTGTGTGGGAGGGTGTGGGAGGGTGGGGGAGGGGGTATGTGTTGGGTATGCTTGAGATCACACACTGTATCTGCCCCTATGCATTGCTTGTGGG